ATGCCATCCATCCATCCATCCATCCATCCATCCATCCATCCATCCATTCATCCATTGCAGCCAGAGCCGCCAGCTCTCCAGCGTTCCTTTGCCTGCACCAGCTGAGTGAAGTGAGCGTGCACGGGAGGACTCACTGTTGCAGTTATTAGAAATTTAAAGCGTCAGTCAAACATTGTGTTATGAATCTGGAGAAAAAAATGAATATAAGTCGCTTCGGCATATAAGTTGCAGGACTGACAAATCTATGCAAAAAAACCCTGTGACTTATACGCTGGAAAATACGGTACCTGGAGAAAACGCACGCAGCACGGAGAGAACATGCAAACTCCACCCAGAAAGGCCGGGGTCAACCTACGAACGTCTTGCTGCGAGGCGATAGCTCTAACCACTGACCGCTGTCTATAACTAAAACATTTTAAAGTATATATGTCTTATGTACAAAACAAAGTATCTGTTTTTGTGCATGAGTTCATTCAGGTTTGCATTCAGTTATGAAATTCTCTCCAGATTTAATTGCGCCACAGAGACTGAAGAAATAAATAGATGACGTGATTGTTGTGATGAATTCAAATCCTTTTACAAGGACCATTTAGAGGTTCCGTTTGTTGTTTCCAAACACATAATTTTCAGATAATTTAAGTATTTCCTCTTGCTCCGATGAATCAGTGTTTGCCGAGATGCCCGTTCGGATGAATCAGCACGGCTGCAGCGGCGGAGGAGTTAAAATGCCACACAGGCAGGAGATCAGAGCCGTCACTTTTAAGGGTTGCAAAAAGGTGGATAAAAGCCAATCGTCTGTCCTCCTCCAGCACAAACCGATGCTGTGGAATTAGCCCCCAGGGGCAGGAACTGGGGCGTGTTGAGGCAGCGGACGCCACTGTAAAAGGGAGTGCAGGAGAAATGACAAAATGGAGAAAGTGTCAGACTCCCAGAACAAAGTTATCCAGCTGTGTGATGTGTGTTTGCTTTGATATCACGGCTCCAGAGAGGATAAAGAGATGCCCGCTGGTCTCTCCTGCCTGTAGGGATCTCCTCCTCTCCTGCCTTTCTTCACCTTTATCTCTCTGCCTCTGTGCGTCTCTTAATTCCAGACATTGATGAGTGTGGTGCTTTGACCCCGCCGTGCAGTTCAGGGTTTACCTGCATCAACACGGTGGGATCGTACATGTGCAACAGGAAGATAATATGCAGCCGGGGTTATCATGCCAGTCCTGATGGGTCCAGATGTATTGGTGAGACTCGTCCCTACATGAGTAATCACATTTTAAATGCAGATGTAAAGTCGATCTGCGGGCAAAAGAAGATGGATTTGTGCTTCAATGTATCAATTACACATTTTGACTGAGGCTGCACAAATACAGTAAATGCTGTTTACCAAAATAAGAGCAGCACTTTTGTCGTTTTCTGAAAGAACACTGGTTGTTTTGGTCTAATAATAACAAGAACGTTTTACAAATAAAATAAAAGCATCGGATGCTGCAACCTCTGGGACGTTGAGTAAAATGTGAATAAAAACAGAATGTAATGATTTGCGAATCACACAAACCCATATTTTATTCATAATGGAACACAGTAAACAAATCAAATGTTTAATATTTTGAAATTATTCCACTATTTTTACATGCTGGGTTTTTTGCAGACTGGTGGACCTCTGCCCATCTTTACTTCTGAGAGATACAGCCTCTCTATAATGCTACGATGCTCTTGTTATACCCGGTGCTTTTGACAAATAACCTTAGTTTGCTCCAGCTGTTTTCCTTTTTGTACCACTTACTTCACATCTTACTTCACATCATTGTGGGGGAGTGGTGGCGCAGAGGTTAGAAGATGGGCTTGTGATCAGAAAGTCACAGGCTCACCTCCCGGTACCGTCAACATCAAAATATGGGTGGAAAAGGTGAAACACCCACACCTCCCTCCACCCTCATTCACCCCACTCTGGGCCCCTGAGCAAGGCCCTAAACCCCCACCATCTGCTCCCTAAACAGGTCTCTCTTGAAAATGAGTTCTCGTGGCTCAGTGAGACTGCCTGGATAAATAAAGGGTAAATGAAAAAATAAAATCAGACATTTGTTTTTGTCAGGTTTTCTTATTATTAGATAGAAACAACCAAAGTTCTCAGAGAAGATGGCAACCTTGCTGCTGGGAGCTTGACGTCTGCAGCATCACATCACAGATTTTACGTGCCTCTTGCAGATGTGAATGAATGTGAGAATGGCCTGCATCAATGTGGAGAGGGTCAGCTGTGCCAGAATCTGCCTGGTTCCTATCGCTGTGAGTGCCAGACAGGCTACCAGTTTGACTCACTGAGGAGGACGTGTGTAGGTACGATGGACATTTTTTCCCTTTACGATGATGCATTACCATACAACCCCCTGTTTGTTTGGTGTCCCCCACTCTGTACCTCCTGATTATTATTCTGTAGCAGAGAAAGCTGCTGTTGTTTCCCAGCTTCAGCTCCTGTCTCCTGCAGCAGCCAATGAACTGCTGATCACGTCACATTACCCTGCTGCTCCCTGTGCACGTGATTCGCAGAGTCGTACCGTGGCTCTCATAATAAAACACTCAACTCGAGTGTTTAGACTATCAGCAGACAGATGGTCCCCCTGCATCACATTTCGATTGGCACATGCATACACACACACGCATGCACAGACATGCACATCTGTGCAGGACACCAAAAATGCACATGCTCTGTTGCACACATGGGAGTAAACACGCAAGCATACCTCATAATACCTCTTTTCAAGGTACTGTATTATAATGATGATGATGATGATGATGACAATGATGCTTCTCAGATGTAAATGAGTGCTGGCGCTTCTCCGGCCGTCTGTGCGCCCAGACTTGCGAGAACACCCCGGGCTCCTACCACTGCTCCTGCACCTCTGGTTTCCGCTTATCTGCTGATGGCAAGAGCTGCGAAGGTGTGTTTGTGTTAATGTCAGTCCGCATGGCCATGGGTGCGTGTTGATGCACGTTTTATTTTTGCCAACTTGTGTGCGGAAAATATGCATGTGTGAGTGTAAAATAGTACATCTTTGTCTGTCAGCATTCATACAACTAGAGAAATAGCATTTTCTGTAAGTATCGTGTGACTACTGGGGGCTAAATGACTTCACTAAAATTGTCAAAAAAAAATGAGAAAAGCTAAAACTAAAAGCAATTAAACCCTAGCTAGAACCCCAAACCAACAGAATAGTAGCTAATAGCTACATAACAGTAGCTAAAAGCCAAAAGAACCAGAGTTTTCTAAAACCTAGAAGCAGCAGAACAGAGACTTCAAGCTAAACATGGCAAAACAGCTGCTAAAAACTCAAAGAAGCACAAGAAAACAAAATGGAGCGACTAAGCTGAAGTAGATTTCAGAGGGCAATACTTGTGAAGGAACTGAAGAGATCTTATTATACCTTTATGGGGATTTTTTGAAAATAATGTATTAAAGTATAAAATGTACAACAAAAAAAAAAAATTCCTGGCACACTATTGCTGAGTGAGCTCAATGGTTTGATATGTCATGGTTCAAGGAGTACAAAGTATGCAAACATCTAACTACGGTACTAAAACCATATTGAAGAAACTATAAACAGGAAAACAATAATGTGAAAGCTGACTCAGAATTCGTACAACAAACGTGCTAACAATCTCACAACGTTCTGTTTATATGTTGAGATTAACACAGTAATGTGCTCTAATCATATCCAGATGTGAACGAGTGTCTGAACAGCCCATGCAGCCAGGAGTGTGCCAACATCTACGGTTCCTACCAGTGCTACTGCAGAAAGGGTTACTATCTCAGAGAAGACGGGCTCACATGTGAAGGTGGGGCCTCCTTGATCACGCACCTCAAGTAGAAGATTAATAACAAACTCATACACCCATTTTAGAAACATTTCTCTTTCTTGTCATGCAGACATTGATGAATGCGCACAGAGCATCGGCCATCTGTGCACCTACAAGTGTGTGAATGTTCCCGGCAGCTACCAGTGTGCCTGCCCTGAATACGGATACACCATGTCACCCAACGGACGGTCCTGCCGAGGTGAGCGAGTGATCCCACCGAACATGAATACAGATGAAGCTGCTTCAGTGCCTCATCGAGCTCTGCTCCGAGAATGATTTTAAAAATTGCTCCCAGAGTTGGCTGTATTGGTCTAGCTCTATGGGGTGCCGTTTGTAAAGTTAAACATTCAAAATTAACATCAATATTTTGGTTTATTTAGCCTTTAATAAGAACAAAAAATAGTTTTTTTTTTTCAAAGTCATATTTTCACCATGTTATTCATACATTTATAAATCTCATAGTTCCAAACTAAATATTTAGTTTACAAACTAAATACATAACTTGCAAGTTAAATAATTAGTTAGTAAACTAAATATTCAGGTGTGAATTAAATATTTAATTTCCAAGCTAAATATTTATTTTCAAAACTAAACATTTCATTTCCAAACTAAATATTTATTGTCCAAGCTAAATATTTAATTTCCAAACTAAACATTTAATTTCTAATCTAAACTTTTCATTCCTAAACTAAATATTTAATTTTCCAACTAAAATTAAAGTTAGTAAATTAAATTTTTATTTTGGAAATTAAATGTTTAACTTAGAGATTAAATGTTTAGTTTTGAAAATAAATGTTTAGCATGTAAATTAAATATTTAATTTACACCTAAATATTTAGTTTACTAACTAAATACATAACTTGCAAGTTAAATATTTAGCTTTTAAATTAAGTATTTAGTTAGGAACTATGACATTTATAAATGTATGAATAACATGGTGAAAATATGACTTAGAAAAAAACAACTACTTTTATTTTTTTTAAACCAAAATATTGACGTTAATTTTTGACTGTGTAGAAATGGCACCCCATACGGATCACCGCGGTGCAAAGATTTACACATGCTGTAAAAGTTTATATCCCTAAAATCTCGTCTTGCCAATTTGAAATTTCTCATGGGAAACATTTTTGTCCTCTAACCTACAATCCAGTCCCTAACACCAGGTTGTGGTACTTTGTATGTTTTAGATATTGATGAGTGTGCTACAGGAGCCTATAACTGCTCTCTCACCGAGACCTGCTACAACATCCAAGGAGGGTACCGCTGCCTTTCTCTGAGCTGTCCCCCGAACTACCGCAAAGTGTCGGACACGTAAGTTTTATCATCGATATTCATCAAGATATATTGTTAAGCCTGGAAAAGGGTGACACAGAGGTTTTTGTGATTTTAACACAGTGCTGGGAAATGGCTTAAAAATTGTTTTCCTTCTTCTCCTACAATACTAAGTTATAGTGCAAAAAACGTTGGTTATGTACTGTAACCCCAGATTTTATGAGTATAGGCACAGCCCCTTAAGGCTATCACTAGTGGGTTTATCCCCTTCGCGTGCAGCACAGCACTGAAAAAAACTTTAGTCCACGTCCACCTGCTGTGTGGGCCTCACCCCATGTCCATATAAATTACGGTGAGACCGGGTAATCGGCTCCCATTTTTTCTTCAGCTAACCAGCACTGTAATTTTGAGAAGAGAGAAGATGTCCAGCACCAGCACCATCCGTCTGTGCCCGTCCTGCCAGACCGGCTACATTATGAGCTTTGACTGGCACGACATTTGCGAAGGATGCCTGGGTCCCTGCCACGCTGATCTCGCCTCCTCCAGCCGTCCCTGTGACCTCCTCCCTCCCGAGGAGAAGCAGAGATGAGCAGCCTTGTTCAAGGCTAACATCGAGGAGTGTTTTTTCCGTGGCAGGTGATTGTTCGCTGGACGACGCCATCACCTTTTTTGACGCTGAGTAACGGAGCAAATAGGATGATTCCTCCAGAACAGGCAATGTCAGCAGCAGCCCCGCTGCTCATTCCCTCCTGGAGCCCCCCCCCC